TGGTTTCTCTGAATCACCCCAGGGATGGAATTGTCCGTGTTTTCAGGGTAAAGCACTGATGGGTTGATGATTTCTCCCCACAGCTGTCCCAAAAGGTCCCCCACAAGTTGACCAACCCCAAATTCAATGATCCCCACGTCAAGACCAACCTGCTGCTCCAGGCCCACCTGTCCCGGATGCAGCTGAGCGCAGAGCTGCAGTCAGACACCGAGGAGATCCTCAGCAAGGTGGGGCTGGGGGACCCACCAAAACCACTCTGTCACTGCCCTCCACAGCTGGACATGGGAGAGAAAATACAGGGAAAGGTCCATGAGTTATGATAAGGACAGGGAGAGATCCCTCATTAATCACCTCCATGGGCAAAATAGACTTGAATGAGGGTAGGAATTGAAACCAAATCAGAGCAGGATAATGAAAAGTTAAATAAGTCTTCAAAAAACACTTTCCCCTCACCCCTCCCTCATTCCCAGGCTCTGCCTCCTCCCTCCAGAGATGGGAATGGGAGTCACAGTCAGTTCATCCCACGTTGTTCCTGCAGCTCTGCAGGGCTGCTCCTCTCACACGTTCTCACTCTGCTCCTCCCTGCACCCAAATCCATCTGTGCTGTAACTTTTTCCTTCTTAAACATGTTATCCCAGAGGTGACACTGTCATTCCTGCTGGGCTCAGCTTTGGCCAGCGGTGGGTCTGTCCTGGATCTGCTGGAATTGGCTCTGCTGGACATGGGGGAAACTTCCAGCAGCTTTTCACTGAATCCAACCCTGTAGCCCATCTGCTCCCAAACCCTGGGCACACCAACCCAACCCCCCGTGTTTCTGTCTCCACCCCGTGACCCGTCCCTGTCCCCCATGTCCAGGCGATCCGGCTGATCCAGGCCTGTGTGGACGTGCTGTCCAGCAATGGGTGGCTGAGCCCGGCTCTGGCCGCCATGGAGCTGGCCCAGATGGTCACCCAGGCCATGTGGTCCAAGGACTCCTACCTCAAGCAGCTGCCTCACTTCACCTCAGAGCACATCAAGCGCTGCACAGACAAGGTAAATCCTGGTGGGAGGAGCACCAGGGTCCTGCCCTCAGAGTGCCAGGAGCCTCCAGGCTGAAAAAAATCCCTCTTTGCAGGGCGTGGAGAGCGTGTTTGACATCATGGAGATGGAGGACGAGGACAGGAACGCACTGCTGCAGCTCTCGGATGCCCAGATTGCCGACGTCGCCCGGTTCTGCAACCGCTACCCCAACATTGAGCTGTCCTATGAGGTGGTGGACAAGGACAGCATCCGCAGGTGGGTGGCCTTGGGGTCCCTTCAGCTGGGTGGGATTTAAGGTCCCTCCAACCCCAACCATTCCATGATTCTGTGGTTCTGTTCCTGCAGTGGAGGGCCCGTGGTGGTGCTGGTGCAGCTGGAGCGCGAGGAGGAGGTCACAGGGCCTGTCATCGCACCGTTGTTCCCACAGGTATGGTGACACCATTGTGGCAGGTTGGGGGGGGGAATTGTCCCCAAATCTCACCTGTTTGCTCCTCCCTCCCCCTCAGAAACGTGAGGAGGGCTGGTGGGTGGTGATCGGAGACTCCAAGTCCAACAGCCTCATCTCCATCAAGCGCCTGACGCTGCAGCAGAAGGCCAAGGTGAGTGGGGGGTGGCACTGGGGGTGGCACTGGGCACCTTCCCTGCTGTCCTCGCTGCCATCCCAATACCTCCCCCTCCCTGCGCAGGTCAAGCTGGATTTTGTGGCTCCAGCCACGGGGACTCACAACTACACATTGTACTTCATGAGTGACGCCTACATGGGCTGTGACCAGGAGTACAAGTTCAGTGTAGACGTGAAGGAGGCAGAAAGCGACAGCGACTCCGACTGATCCTGGGCCAGAGGATCCCCCCAGAGCTCAGCGCCCCCCCCAACCCCCACAGCGCTCACGTCCCCTCCTTTTGTGTTGTTTCCATGTGTTTTCCACGTGTTTTCCTTTGGTTTTTTAAAGTGTGGATGCTTTGTACAGTGTTTTCTAGGCAGGAGCTGCATGACAGCAACTGCAATAAATCCTGGGACCTGACTCTGTGCTGATGGGTGGGGAGGGGGGAAATGGTGTGACCCCAGACTCGCTGAACTCTGCCTTCACCCTGAGGGTCAACAAGCTCATTAGCAGCACTAATTAGGGCATTTCTGGGAAAACTATGATGATCCCAACACCTCAGTGCTTCCCCTTGGGTGGTCCTGTCCCCTTGTGCCACCTCATCCATATCCAGGGAGCGCCCTGTTGTGTCACTCTGAGGGTTCCAGGAGTGTGAAAGGAAGATCCCAGGTGTGTGATCATGGAATCCTGAAGGTTGAAGAGATTTAAGGATCAAGTCCAACCAGCAACCCAAGAACTGTAACCCCCAAACCACTTGTGAAAGGAAGATCCAGAGGCCAGGAGCTCATGGATTTATTGGGTGTGAGAAGAGAGGGGAGAAAGTCCTGCTCCAGATCCTGGATCCAACCCGAGTCTGGCTGTCCTGGCCTCCCACGGGTGAGGAGGTGAGGAGGAAGAGGCCGGGGTGGGCTAAGGGGGACACACAGCGGGGTCTGTCCCCCTCAGCAGCCCTCGGGGCTCTGGTACTTCCAGAAGGCGATGTCCCCGTCGTCACTGCAGGATGCCAACAGTCCTGGCTCCTTGGGGTTCCAGGCCACCCCATTGACATCCTGGGAGTGTGCCCGGGGCACGTGGGTGGTGAGGCTGAAGGTGGGCTGGGCCTCCTCCGATGTGGGGCTCTCCTCGAACACCCGGATGGCATCGTCACCACAGGCTGTGGCCAGAGCACCTGTCAGGTGGCACCTGGGGGACATACAGAGAGAATGGGACCTGAGGAGGTGGCTTCTGCAAGGGACAGTGCCCCAGGGAGGTGGTATCTGGAGGAGTCACAGGGAGGGGATGAAGCCTTGGTGATGTGGCACCTGGAGCAGATCACAGGGAGGGATGGGGCCCCAGAGAGGTAGCACCTGGAGGGGTTGTGAGTGTCACCAGGAAGGGACAGGGCCAGGGATGCCCCCAATATCTGCCCCTCACCAGGATACATCGTAGATGGTCCTGCTGTGATACCCCGAGAGGGTGCACACACACTTCCAGGTGGGATCAGTGCCACTGCAGGCCACACCTGGAGGGAGGTGAGAGAGCTCAGTTCTCTTTCCCTCCCCTTTTTCCCTTCCTCTTTCCCTTTTCTCTCTCCTTCTCCCTTTTCCTTCCTTTTCCCTCTCCTCCCCTTTCCCTCGTTTCCCTTTCCTTCTGCTCTCCTACTTCCTTCCCTCCTCTTTTCCCTCTGCCTTCCCTCTTCCTCTCCTTCTTTTGACCCTCTTTCTTTTCCCTCTTTCTCCTCCCTTTCCCTTCTCCCTCTTCCCTCTTCCTCTTTCCTCTCTCCCTTTCGCTCCCCCCCCACCCCTCACCTTCCTTGTTCCCGGGGTGGTACCGGCGCCACACCCGGAGGGTCCTGTCGTCGCTGACGGACGCCAGACGCTCCCCCTCCTTGTCAAAGGCCACAGCCCAGACGGTGGAGTCGTGTCCCTCCAGGGTGGCACAGCACACCCAGTCGTCCTCCTCCTCCCGGTACAGACGCACCGTGTCGTCATAGCTGGCAGAGGCCAGGAGCTGGGGGGGGGCATGTAAGGGGCCAAAGTGACCTTAAGTCACTCTGGATGGGACCACAGGAGGGACTGGGAAGGGGCAGGGGGATGCAGGATGGGACCTGGGGGGACTCTCACCTCCTGGCTCGGGTGCCACACCACATGCTTCACATCCTGTGTGTGGGCATTGAGGACACTCACACACTCGTACTCCTCCTCCTCATCCACTGTGGGGGTACAGAGCAGTTGGGAGGGTCTGGCTGAGCCCCTGAGCACCCCCTCAGTCCTTCCCAGCTCCCCTCAGCCCCTCCTCACCTTCCCACACCCAGACACTCTTGTCTCGGCTGCACGTGGCCAACAGGGACCCCGAGGGTGCCCAGGCCACCGACTTCACTTCATTCTCATGCCCCTCGAGGGTGGCCACGCACTGCAGGGGGACAGCAAAGGCTGGGAGGGGCTGGAGGGCCCCAGGGAGGCTGGGAGGATTCTAGGGGGGGGTGTCTCACCTCAAATCCATCCTCCTGCCGCTTCCAGATGCAGGTGGTGCCGTCGAAGCTGGCGGAAGCTAAGTAGGAGCCGCAGGGGGACCAGGCGACCCTGCGCACAGTGCGCTGGTGCCCATCCCCCAGCACCGCCCGGCATGTCCAGCTGGAGCCTGGGGAGGGTGGGATGGGATCACATGGGCACAGGCAAAGCCCCTGCCACCCCAGCCCTGCCCCAGTCACCCCCAGCCTTACCCAGCCCTGGACGGGACCCTCGGACACGGGACACACCCCAGCCACGCCTACATGGCGATGTAGTCCCGCCCCCAGAAAAGCCACGCCCACATCAAGCCTGTAACCCCCTCCCCTCTTCCCAGCCCCGCCCCTCCCCGTGGCTCCCCCGCACCTGGGCAGCCCCGCACGGCCCGCTCCCCCCGCACGGCCCGGTCCCCCCGCACCTGGGCAGCCCCGCACGGCCCGGTCCCCCCGCACCTGCACAGCCCCGCACGGCCCGGTCCCCCCTCACGACCCGGTCCCCCCGCACGACCCGGTCCCCCCGCACGGCCCGGTCTCCCCGCACCTGGACAGCCCCGCACGGCCCGGTCCCCCCGCACCTGCACAGCCCCGCTTCCTCCGTACCGGCCCAGCCCCGGTCCTTCCGCCCCCTGCCAGCCCCGCACGTTCCGCTCTCCCCCACACCGGCCCTGTCCCACCCGGCCCGTTCCCCCCGTACCCGCCCGTCCCCACACGCGCACGGCGCGGTCCCCCCCGCAGGAGGCGAGCAGGGCCCCGCCGGGGCTCCAGGCCAGAGCCCAGCAGCGGGACTCGGGGTGCGCGGGGACCCGGCACAGCAGCGACAGCGCCTCGGGCATCGCAGGGACAGCACGGAAACGGAAACGGCCGCGCCGGAACTGGGGCGGGGACGGGAACGGGCAGGGCCGGGAACCGGGAACGGGAGACGCGGACGCGGTGCCCGGAGCCGCTGCCGAGAGGGGCCGGGGCTGTATCGGGGGGTCCGGGGCCGCTGTGGGAACCCCGGGCCGGTGTCGGGGGCCCAGGGCCGGTATCGAGGACGCGGAGCCGCTGTTGTGGGGCCGGAGCCACTGCCGGTGAACCCGGACCCGTTGCCGCTTGTCCTGGTGCCCGTGGGCCCGCTGCCGGTGGTCCCGGGCTCGCAGCCAAGTGTCCCGGAGCCACTGCCGGGGTTCGAGAGCGAGGGTCGGGCGTCCCGTTCCCGGTGTCCCCGGTGCCCGCCGCGATGTACGCGCCGGGCGGGCCGGCGGGGCCGGGCGGGAGGCGGCGGAGGGGCGCGGCGGGGCTGCCGAAGCAGCCGGAGCGGAGCTTGGCGTCGGCGCTGCCCGGGGCTCTGTCCATCACCGCGCTCTGCACCGCCCTGGCTGAGCCCGCCTGGCTCCGCATCCACGGCGGCACCTGTGCCCGCCAGGAGCTGGGGGTGGCCGATGTGCTGGGCTACGTGAACCCCGAGCTGCTCCGAGGTGAGACCCCTTTGGCCCCTTCCATCCCTTCAATCCTTCTCCATCCCGTGCCATCCTCTTCACCCCCTTCTGTCCTGCTTCCATCCCTCTCTGTCCCCCCTCCATCTCACTTTCCGTTCTCCTCCATCCCCTTCCCTCGCCCTCCCTCTCCTTTTAACCCCTCTGTCCTCCTTCCATCCCTCTCCATGCCCTCCATCCCTTTCCATCTCCCTCCGACTCCCTTCTATCCCCCTCCAAATCCTCCTGTTCCCTTCCACCAACACCCACGGCCAAACTGTACAAATTCAACTCCAAGTGTAAAATCCTGGGATGGTTTGGGTTGGAAGGGAGTATAACTCCATGGGTATAACTCCACAGGCAGCTGCATTCCATGTCTATTTTCCTGGTTTTGGTTACCTGTGGCCCTTGGAGAGGCCCCTTCCCACCTGTTTTTCCAGCATTACTCACTCCCCGCAGGCACGAATGGAGCTCATTCCCAGCATGTCTCACAGTGGCACATGTTCATTAGCACTAAGGAACATGATATTTAAAAGAATATTTGGTTCAATTTATTAAAATCTGTGATGGTTTGAGGGGGTGAAGGTGTTACAGCCCCTTTCCCTGTCGTGAACCTTGTGGAATACGGGGGGTTCTGGTTTTAATTCTCAAGGATCTAGGCAGGATCGGAGCAGGGGGAAATTTGGGTGGAAAAGAGGTTTTTTTGGGTGCTCACCCCTGTCCCTCTCTCCCAGATTATTGCATGAACCCACAGACGGTGCTGCTGCTCCGGGTCATCGCTGCCTTCTGCTTCCTGGGAATCCTGTGCAGCCTCTCGGCCTTTCTGCTCGACGTGTTCGGCCCCAAACACCCAGCACTGAAAATCACCCGGCGCTACGCCTTCGCCCACATCCTGACAGGTACAGCCAGGAATTCTGCAGGGAAATCCTCACAGGTACAGCCAGGGGATTCCAGCTGGGAATTCCTGCAGGGAAAGCCTCACATTTTTGGTGGATTTCTGGCTGGGTTTTGGGTGTTTGTCACCGTGTTTCACCCCGAGCTCTGCCCTTCCCCACATCCCTGTTCATCCCAAACCACCCTGTGACTGATTTTTCTCCCATTTCTCCCCGTTCTCCCTGTCCCTCCCAGTCCTGCAATGTGCCACCGTCATCGGGTTCTGCTATTGGGCATCGGAGCTGATCCTGGCGCAGCAGCAGCAGCACAAGAAGTACCACGGCTCCCAGGTCTACGTCACCTTCGCCGTCAGCTTCTACCTGGTGGCGGGGGCGGGGGGGGCCTCGATCCTGGCCACGGCTGCCAACCTGCTCCGACATTATCCCACCGAGGAGGAGGAGCAGGCACTGGAGCTGCTCTCGGAGATGGAGGAGAATGAGCCCTACCCAGCCGAGTATGAGGTGATCAACCAGTTCCAGCCCCCGCCAGCCTACACCCCCTGATCCCACCTGGAATGTCCCTCTGGCCCCGCTCCCACCTCCTGCGGCTCCCGGGGCTGTCTACAAGAGGTTTTTGGGGTGGATTGGCGGCGTTTGATTCCCAACCTTGGGTTTGTGGCTCTGCGGCGACGTTTGGACTCGGCCTCGTTTCCCCCACGTGGCTCCTCCTGGAAGTGGGGCACTCACGGTTCCCCTGGGCATGAGGGATCCACAATTCTCCTGGGAATGAGAGGTTTGGGATCCACAATTCTTCTTGGAATGGGGGATGTGGGGTCCACAATTCTCCTCAGGATGAGGGTGGGGGATCTGCATTCCCACATCAGAGCTCATTCCCTCCTCCTCCAAGGCCCCCAAGGCCCGGACATGAGTGGATATATTTATATATATTTATATATTTATATCAGGGAAGTTCCCACCGCATTCCCGGGGCAGGGAGGGCTGATCCTGCATGGCAGGAGGTCGAAATTCCCACTCCTGGCTCTCCCTGTGCCTCTCTTCCCACCACACGGACATTCTGCACTTTATTCCAGGCTCTGGGAAGGACTGGGACAGTTTTGGGGCCTCCGGCACAGCACAGGAAGGAAAACTCTGGGGTTTGTTGGGATCATCCGGCTCCTGCCGGCAAAGTTTGGGGATTTTTAGCCAAAAAAAACCCAGACCTTGGCCCAGCCACAGCTCCTGGGAAGCAGGAGGAGCCCACACTGGAAAAATCCTGGAGCTTTTATGCAAATCCCTCCACGCCGCCCCCACTCTCCTGCTTTTTCCACCCAAATTCCATGTTTTTCCCTCCTGCTCTTGGTTCACTGCCCCATTTCCCTCCTCAATCCCTGGGATGCTTCATCCAGGAGCAGACACTTTCCCTGGATAGTGCTGGAACACCAGGAGAAGCTGATCCACCCTTTCCCAACCCAGAGGAGGAATCCAGCGGGGGGGGGGGGGCTGTTTAAGGCAAATAATAAGGAAAAAACCCATGGAATTCATCAACCAGCAGTGAAAATCCCACCAGGGAATCATGGAATAGTTTGGCTTGGAAGGACCTGAAAGATGATCCAGGAAAGCCCCAGGCTGGCTTCAGGAAGAAACTTTAGGCCTGGAAGACAGCTTGTTTTAGGTTCTTCACCCTCCCCCCAGTGCTTTTATTCCTGTTTTCCTGCTTTCTTATCCCATCCCCTTTCCCACCCTGCCCCTGGCTATGCAAGAGTCTCGGTCGCTCTCCAGGGTGGAATCCGGAAAACTCATCCCGGGAAAAGCCCTTCCTGAGCCCTGGGAGGCTCCAAGGAGCCAAATCAACACTAAAACCCCTTCAGGGGGATCCCAGGAATGGGTGGTCAGGGGCTCCCAGAGGGAACATCCCGCAGCTGGGAGAGGCTTTGGGATTCCCTAGATATGCAAGAGGGGGGTTGGGTGTAAATAGTCTGAGCTTAAATGTTCTGAATTTGGGTAAAAAAAGACCCCAAAAAGGGACATGATGTTGTTTCCTGTGGGGCTTGGGGGGAAGGTCAGGGTTTGGAAATGTTGGGATGGGGGAGCTGTGGGATTTGGGGCTCCAAGGGGAATAAAGGGGTGCAAAGAGCCGTGTGTGGAGCTCGTGTTTTGGGCTGGGGAAGGGGGACCTTCTGCTGCCTGCACAAAACATCCCGGATTGGGCCCTTCTGGGCAGGGACCAGGGGCCGGCCCTGCCCCCCATACCTCCCCCGACTCCCCCCAGACCCCTAAACTCCACCTCACCTCACCCCCATAGCCCCTCCCCGGACCCCCTCACCCCCCTCTGCCGGTCCCCAGTACCCACCCATTGCTCCCCATAATCCACTATTCCCCCCCAAAATCCCCCTTACGCCCCCATAACCCCCCGTTTCTCCCAAAAATCCCCTTACCGCCCCAAATCCCCTTGCTCACCCCATAACACTCCAAAATCCCCTTACTCCCCAGTAACCCCCTTGCCCCCCATAATCCCCCAAAATCCCCTGTAGGCCCCAGTTCCCCTCCTGCCCCGCTGGGTGCGCGTCCCCCACAGGCCCCGCCCCATCCCCGTAAGCCCCGCCCAGTCCCGCATCCCAAGCTCCTCCCCCCGCGCGCCCCTCGCCCTTCCCCGGTGGGCGTGGCCACCCGTCCTACACGGCCCAATGAGCGCGGGGGGCGGTGCGGCCACAGCCAATGAGCGGCGCGGCGCGAGCCGATGACGCAGCCGCGGGCGCGACGGGCCGTTCCGGCGGCATGTGGAGGGCGCTCGGCGCCCGCGCCGCGCGGAGCCCCCGCGGAGGGACCCCCGGCACCGCCCGAGCAGGGACCGCCGCAGGGGCCCCCCGGGACGCCCCCGCCGCGCTGCTCGCCCGCCAGTGCAGCTGCGTGACAGCGCACGGGGCGCGGCGGGCGCGGCGGGCCTGGCCCCGCGGGCACGGGGAGGGGGCGGCGGCGGAGGGAGGAGGAGGAGGAGGAGGGTCAGGATCAGGATCAGGCTGGGGGGGGTGGTGGCGGGGAGCGCTCCGCGGCCGCCCCGCCCTCGCCGGCCCCGGGCGCCTGATGGCCGCGCTCGCCGGGGTGTTCGTGTGGGACGGGCGGCGCATCGAGGAGGAGGAGCTGCGCCGGTGCGTGAGTGGGGAAACACCGGGAACGGGCACTGGGAATGGGACAGCGTCGGAAAGGGGCCACCGGGAACGGCGACATTGGGAATGGGGCACCCTCCAGGTGCCCCAGCGCCCTCTCCTTTTCCTTAAATCCCGGATACCTTCAAATCCTCAGGACCCACCCCTGAATTCTTGGGATGGGAGTGCCCCCGCTGTATTGATCTGGGGGTGTCCCCCTAAATCTGAGGGTACCCCGCCAAAATCTGCTCTGGAAGGCGCTCCCTACCTTTTTTCGAGGTGCTGAGGGGGCACCATTCCCTAAATCCTGTCCCTGTGGGGTATCCCCCAATTCAGACCTTGGGGTGCCCCAGTTCTGATCTAGGGGTATCCCCCTGTCCCCCCAAATCCCATCTTGGGACCCCCTGCCCATCTCCCCCATTTTAAGACCTTGGGGTGCTGCCCAGTCCTCCCATATTCCTCCCCAAAATTCCTGAGGGGGTTGTTGGGGTGTCCCCTCCACCCCCCCAAACTTTGGGGTGCTGCTGGGAATTCTCCCTATGGAAAAGGGGGTTCCCCCCCCTCAGCCCCTTGCTGAGGACCCTCCAAACCCATCCCTGTGCCCAAGGGGGGGTGTGAGACACACCCAAATCTCACGGGATAGAGGTCAAAGGACCCCCCTGTCCCCCTCCAGAAGCTCTTGGAGTGTTCTTGGAATCTCATGGCTTCCTTAGGGATTAGTTCGTTTAATTACCCCGTGATTGAGCAGGGGGTAATTAACCCTTAGTGGTAATCTTGGGATCCAAAATTCCACCTCCAGGTTCCTCATCCCACAGGGATTCATCATCGCCCAGAGTTTGAGAAGCACCTCATTTAAGGCTTAATTAACCCTGGAGTTACTGAGGAATACCCCCCACCCCCCTCATGGCATTTCTGGAGTATTTAGGGAAATTCCCAGCTGGGAAAAAGCCCCAAATCCCAGCCTCATTTCCCAGAAAGGAGCCTTTGGGATTGGGGATAAACCCTGGGGACTTTTCCAGTGGCTCAGCAGGGCTGGGCTTAGTCCTGGGATTAAAACCAGGCAGGATTTCCTTGCTCAAGGTCAGGTTGTGGTTTTCCTGGCCAGGCAGGATGGATTTGGAGAAGCAGGATAAGCACTTTGCTCCTTGTCCCAGTTGGATCCCATCCCATCCCATCCCCCTGGGGATCATTCCCAGCTCCCTGCCTCTGGATCCCATCTCCAGTGGCTCAGCTGGTGGTTGGGAATGCTGCTGATCCAATGGATGGACAGGGCAGAGGCTGGAATGGCTCATCCCGGAGTGGGAAGGGTGGGATGGTGGGGTTGGGGTTGTGGAGGAGCCTCAGTCCCAAAGGGAATACCTACAGAAAACAGGCTTGTGGCTCCAGTTGATGCTGTGGAGCTTTGGGATCTGCCTGGAGATCTGGGAAGGGAGTGGTTCCAAGGAATGGGAACACAAGCTCAGCCGGTCCCAGGTTATTAATTCCAGCTCTGTTTATTAATTACCTGCATGAATTAGTGCCTCTGGAAGCACCCTGGGATCCTCCTCCCTCCTTCCTTGGCATTCCTGGGGGCTTTGAGGGTGGATGAACCAGCCTTCCCTCTCCAGGGCTGTTTTTGGGAGTTTAGGCTGCACTCAGAGGGATTATCCGAGGGGGGGGGGGGAGGTTTCCAGGCTTTTTTCCATTGGATTTTTGGGAGTTGGGATCCAAATCCAGCACCAATTTCTGTTGGCGTAGGAGGCTGAAACTGGGGGTTGATCCAGGGCTTTTCCAGCTCCTTCCCTCCTGTGACTCCCATTTCCTGCTCCAGATGCTGTAGGAGATTCCCCTCTTCCCCCTTTCCCACCCCCTGGAACAGCAGGAACCCTCTCCCTGCTTCCCTTTCCCCCCAGATCCCAATCCTCTGTGTGACTTAGGAAAGATTTGCAGCATCTCCCTGTGGGATGTGAGCAGCTCCACAGGGAATTTTGGTGCCTCCAAATCCTGCTTTTCTTAAATCCATCTCCCATCCCATTCCATCCTGCTCAGTTTCAATCCAACCAGGAAAACAAATCCTGCTCTGCAACCCCTGAGGGTTATTTTTCCTTAGGGAAAGGCTGATATTTCCAAAAACTGGAGTTCCGACAGAGGAAAAGTGGGAAAAGGGATAAGAGGACACATTTTCCATTCCCAGGCAGCTCTTCCCATAGGAAAACAAAAAAACAAAAGGAATTTCTGAGCCCAGGCAGCTTTTTCCACACTAAGAATTGGGATTTCCCCCAAAAATGGGATTTCCAAGCCCAGGCAGCTCTTCCCACCCCAAAATATGGGATTTCCATTCCATTCCCACACCCAAACTCAGTTCCCTGCTCCTCTCCCTGAGTCCTGGGTGTTCTCCCAGCCTGGGGGGTTCCTGGACGCTCCCAGAGGCCCATTCCTGACTCCTGGTGGGATTTGTTCTGGCAGCTCTGCGCAGGAGATGAAGCACATGGAGAACCTGTCCAGCCTGGCCCAGGGCAGTGGCCCCATGGAATTCCAGCCCTCAGATCGGGAGCAGCCCTGGGAGCTCATCATGGACAAGAAGCACTTCAGGCTGTGGCGGAGGCCGATCCAGGGATCCCACCTGTACCAGTACCGAGGTATCCGTGGGCTCTTCCATGGCCCACATCCCCTGGGATTGGGCCTCACTCATCCCTGTCCTCAGGAAAAACAGGAATTACTATCCTTTACACCCATCCCTGCTGCTGCATCCCATTTTACTCCTCCAGAGGGCATTAAAACTCCCCTTTCCCTCCTAACCCTGCCCTGGAATCGTGAGTTGCTCATTCCAGGCTCTGTTTTCCAGTGTTTGGATCCTACACGGATGTGACTCCCAGGCAGTTCTTCAACGTCCAGGTGAGCAGCACCTTTGGAATCACACTGGGGGGTGGGATGGAGCTCCAGGAGCCTCTTCCAGAGGACAGGATGGGGAAGTGGGAATATTCCCTTCCCTTTGTACCATTTACACAACCCAGAGCTGATCCCAGTGGATTATCCTGTGCTCCAGGTAGGCTTTGCTGCTGGAAGTGAAGGATTGGGCTGCAGGATCCCAGTGGATTCCTGATCCCAAGTCCTTCCATACTATTTCAGGATATTAATAATTCCCTGCCTGCCAATGACACTGAATCTTCCTACGGGAGATAGAGGGGAAAAAAGAGGGATATTTCCCTCCCTTCATTCCCCTCTGCTGGAATTTCTGCTGACTCGGCTTCTCTCTCTTCCCAGCTGGACACGGAATATCGGAAGAAATGGGATTCCCTGGTGATCAAACTGGACGTGATCGAGCGGGACGTGGCCACGGGCTCTGAGGTGATTCACTGGGTCACCCACTTCCCGGTGAGTCCCCGCCCATCCTAGGATCTGCCCTGGGCAGGGCCAGGAGTGGGGGCTGATCCCAGTCCTGGGGCCCTTCCTGCAGTATCCCATGTACTCCCGGGATTACGTCTACGTCCGGCGCTACAACGTGGACAAGGAGAACAACCTGATGGTGCTGGTGTCGAGGTGGGTGTTCCTGGAGGGAATTCCCATCATTCCCATCCCTAAAGATCTACTGGGAGCTGGGTATAAACTCACTTGACTCCATTGACCCCCATCGATCCTACCGAGATTCATTTGGGAAATAAAACAGCTGTTTTTTGGGGGGAAAAACGTCGGGTTTTTTACCCCCCGCCTCCAAAAAATGGGTGGATTCTGGGTGTAATTCTCACTGTGAGCTCACCTTGAGATGCTCCTCCTCCTCCCAGAGCTGTGGAGCATCCCAGCGTTCCTGAGGATCCCGAGTACGTCCGGGTGAGGACCTACGAGTCCCAGATGGTGATCCGACCCCACAAAACCTTTGATGAGGTAAATCTGGGAAAGGGGGCGGAAAACCTGGCGTGGGAAGGATCCTCCTGCTGCTCCAGAGGGAGCTGCTCCTTCTCCTGTCCTGGGAACTGGGGGCAATAATCCAAACATTGGGAAAGTCCAGCCTTAAGGGTTGGATTTGATGATCTTTAAGGTCTCTTCCAGCCCAAACCATTCCATGATTTATGGGAAGGGGATGAGTTATTTTTCCAAAGGCAAGGGAAGCACATCCACGTGTGGCTTGGGAAGGAATTGCAGCTCTGTCCCACTATCCTGGGACTTTTCCTTCAGGAATTCCACCCCCTCCTCCCAAACTCCCTCCTGGTAGGATTTCCTTGAGTCTTTCATCAATGCTCTCAGAGGCTCCGGCAGCTTTTCCCATGGGATATGAGCAGCTCCACAGGGAATTCCTGTCTCCCCGGGTTGGCTCCAGCAGGCATTTGGGATGGACTGGGGATCCCAGGAATGTTTGTCTCCCCCAGAATGGGTTCGATTACCTGCTCACCTACAGCGACAACCCCCAGACCGTGTTCCCGCGGTACTGCGTCAGCTGGATGGTCTCCAGTGGTGAGTGCCTGGAATTCCCTTGGGATACTCCCTCCAGAGGGGGCCCCCTTCCCTTCCCATTCCAGAGCAGGGAGAGGGGTACATGGAGAGGCTTAAAAAGTGACATTATGGAGGCAAAATGGGGAAGGACAAAAAAAAAACTGGGAGGGACAGGAAGAATCAGGAGAGAAAGGAAAAGTTTGGAGGGAAAAGAAAAATTGTGAAGGAAAGGCAAAATCAGGAGGGAAAGGAAGAACTGGGAATAAGAAGAGCCTGGGGGGAAAGGAAAAATTGGGATGGTAAAGAAAAAAATTGGGAAGGACAAGAATCAGGAGGAAAGGAAAAATTAGGAGGGAAAAATCCAGGAGGAAAAGGGAAAATCAGGAAGGAGAAGAACAAAGAGAGCTGGGAATGGAGGAGGGGATGGATTGGGAACCTCTTCCCTTGGCAGTCACAGATCCCAGCAGGCTCTCCCTCTGCCTTTTCCCAGGAATGCCAGATTTCCTGGAGAAGCTGCACTCAGCGGCCCTGAAGGCCAAGAAGATGGAGCTGGAGGTCCGGGATTACCTTTCCAAGGGCTCGGACACAGCCTCAGAGCCCTGTGGCCCTGCCCAGCTGGAATACGCCTGAGGAGCTGGAATTCTGGGAATTGCCTTGGACAGGGACCCGTGCTGTGGGATTTCAGCCCCGTTTTCCCTCCCCAGCCCATTCCTGATGCTCAAGGACAGGGATTTGTTCCCCCTGCTGCGTGTCCATGGTGGAATCTGCATCTCCTGGTTGATGGTTCCTCATCCCAACAAGAGAAAAACCATGGAATTCCCACTTCTTCTGGCAGTGGGTTCTCCCCACTCCTTGTCCCTGCTCAGACTGGAATGTTTTCAGGATGCAGTGGCACAGCAGGGATTGGTGATGGTGCTCTACGTCACCATTTCCGGGGGGTTTTGCCCTCCAAAACAGCCCTTCGACCTCCTCATCCCATTGGGATTACTGGGATTGGGGGGTTGGAATTACTAGAAAGAGGTGTTTGAACTGATGAAACTGGGGAAAAAAGGCAGTTTTGGGGTTTTTTAGGGATTGGGGGGCACCCTGAGCCCTGTCCCCAGTTTGGGGGTCTCCGTCGACCTTGGGAATCTGGGAAAACAGCAGGAGCAGAAAACTACTTAATAAACATCTAGGATCTTCATTAGCTCCTAATTAACGACTCCCCCTCTCCAAGTCACCAATTTGGCGGGGAGGAGCGTTGGGCCCCCCTTTAATCATCACTTTAAATTCTCACTTGATAATAAATTTATCCTAATTTTATCACCCCCTTTGGAGTATCCAATTTTCACCTTCCCCCCTCCCAAAATTCACTCCCCCCAGCCCAATTAGCACCATTAAGTAGTGAGGAACCACCTCCCTCACACATGGAATTTTGGGGGAGTTTCCAGTGAGTCTAATTTTTTCAGGGGGGAGAGGGGGCTTCCAGTGGATCCCACCTCCCCATGGACTGGAACTCTGGGGAGGGGGGTTAGGGTTCCCAAATCCCACCCTGACCCTCCTCCCCAGAAATGTTGGGATCTGGGAATGCCAGCGGTGGGACACACCTTTATTGCACACAGAGAGCAGCAGGCAGCGGGCGCGGGGTTGGGGTGGGGCTGGGGATCCTGGAGGGGGGTTACAGCCCCCCCAGCCCTCTTTTTGGGAGAGGGAAAGGGGTGTTTTCCCTGAGTTTCCCCATCCTGAATCCCCCCCAGGGTGGCTCAAACTGGGGGAGGCCCAAGGAACCTCATACTGGGACCCCCCAAAGAACCTCGTACCGAGGGGTCCTGGGGGTGGGTCCCTGGTGGGATTTTATCCCGGGGGGGTCCCCCTGGTGGGATCTCATCTCTTGGGGTCCCCCCAGGGGGTCATAGCAGGTTTTTGTTGCGCTTGGGGACGATTTTCCTCACGGTCCTTCGCTCCGAGATGTTCCTCCGGACACGGACGGTGGGGCCTGGGGGGTGCTCAGGAGCCAGCGAGGGGCTCGAGTGGGCCTTGGTCAGAGTAGGGGGGTCCGGGGGGGCCCCCCCTGCCTGTGCCTCCCACCCCTCCAGGTCCCGGGCGCCCGAGTTCAGCCATGTCTCCAGCACCTGCACGTAGGTCTCGTAGCGCCGGCGCTGGGGGGACGGGGGTGGCACTCATGGACGGGTCACCTCCCGGGGTCACCACCCCTGTCACCATGTCCCCTCCTGTCCCAGGGTCTCTGTTCCATAACAGTGTCCATCTCATGGGAAAAATAGGGGTGGGGATGGACCACCACTATGGGGACATTCCTGGTGTACTCATGTCCCAGTGTCCCCCCCATCCCTGGGATCCCCCTGTCCTATAGTGGTGTCCATCCCATGGGAAAAATAAGGATGGGAATGAGCTGCTGTCACGGGGACATTCCTGGTGTCTCCCATGTCCCACAGTGGTGTCTCCACCATAAGGAAGATAAGGATGGAGATGAGCTGTTGCCATGGGGACATTCCTGGTGTCCCCCACGGAGAAGAAAAGGTTTGAAATAAGAAACCACCCTGGGGACCTCCCCAGTGTCCCTGATGTGTCCGGTATCCTGCTGTTCCCCCTGTCTCGGTGTCCCCCTGTCCCCACCCACCTCCTCCAGCAGGAATTCCTTCTTGACCCGATACTCGTCCAGGTCCCGGGCTCGGCCTCGGCCCTCGGGGAGGTGTCTCTGGTGCTCCAGGAGCTCCTGCCCCACCCGCTCCAGCCACTGCTCGTGGCACCGCAGCTGCTCCTCCTGAGGGGAGACCAGGGCTGACCCCCACCCACCCACCGGGGGGCTCGGGGGAACTGGTGGGCACCCATGGGTGTCACCCATTTGGGGTCCCAGGGGTCTCACCGGGGGGCTCCTGCTGGGTGCCGTGGGCAGGATGGGCCTCACGAAGCGTCGCTGGGACCCCACGGCCGCCGGGAACGGAGGGGAGGAGAACAGGGCGGCCACGAGATTGATCCGGGAAATCCAGGACAGCATCTCCTCGGAGGTGCTGGATCGTGACATCACCAGTGACGTCACCAGTGCTGTCACACCCTGCAGGGACCCCCCCTGTGGCCCACCTTCCCCCAGGTCACTCACGGCGCCTGGAACAGGAACAGCCTCCGCTCGGCCGTTTGCAGCCGGAACACGTTGGGCCGCTTGGTGTATTTGGGGGCCCTCTCAGCCAGGGCATGGTGGACCCCCAGGGGCTCCTCGGTCCCCCCACCTTCCTCCGGGGGAGCCCCGGGGGATCCCGGCTCTGAGGGGCGTCGGGAGATCCCCCGGGCCCCGCCCCCGGCCTTGAGGAAGAACAGGAATGTCCCACGGAGAACAGCCTGGAAAGGTTTCCAGCCCCGGCGGCCCCAGGGAGCTGGGAACGGCGGGATGGGGGTGGGACACACAGGACACCCCAAGAATAGCCCCCTAAAGTGGGAATGAGCCTGAAATGGGCCCCCCTGGGTCACAGTGGAGCTCAGACAGTCCCACATCTGTCTCACCCCCGAAGCTGCACCCAGAGATCCCAACACACCCTAAGTCACCCTTCGGGACCCGGAAGAGGATGAGAGACCCCAAATCTGCCCTCCCCACCAACTCTAAACCACCCCAGATCTACCCCCCTCAACCCTGACCCAATGGATCCCAAATCTACCCCACTACACCCCAGATCTGCTCCCCTGGATCCCCAAAACCCCAAATCTGCCCCTCCAGATCCAAACACCCCCCAAATCTTCTCCTCTGAGCCCCGAAACCACCCCAGATCTGCTTTCCCGTACCCTCTAACCCACCCCAAATCCTCCCCCTGTACCCCAAACCCTCCAAATCCCCCCAGACTCACTTTTCTTGCCATCAGCCTCTGCCAGGACCTTTCTGGCCAACCACCCCCTGCGGAAGGTCACGGCTCCCCCCGGCAGCTCCGGGATTTGGGGGAGGATCTTCTTCCCTCCCCCAGCCTCTTCCTCCTCTTCCTCCTCCTCCCTGAGGGAGGTTCAGGATCACAGGGAGCCCCCCTCCGACCCCCAAATCCCTCCCAAGCTCCCCCCACTCACGTTGCCCACTCCAACTTCTTGCTGCGGATGGAGCCGTAAAGAGCCTGGGGGGGTGAATTGGAGGGTCATGGGGTGTCGGGGGGCTTGAGGGGGTTTAGGGGAGGGAACTCCCTTTTCCAGCCTCAGGGCCCCCCCAGAATACCTTGAGCTGCTCCCTGGGAAAGTCCTGCCCATCGTTCATCCCACTGAGGTTGGACACGAACTCAGAGCTGGTCATGGCCCGGCGCAAGTGCTGGAGGGGCACATTTGGGGGTGTTGTGAGCTGGGGGAGCACATTTGGAGGGTGGGGGCCCCAAATTTGGCCCAGAAATCAGGGAGACTAAAAATTTGCCCCCTGACCAGGTCCAAAACAATCCTAGATCTGCCCCACTGGAGCTACCAAAACCTCCAATCTGCCCCCAAAATGCCCCAAATATCCACCCCCCCCGGATCCCAATATACCCCAAATCTGCCCCCTGCACCCACCAAACTCCCAATCCACCCCAAATCTGCCCCCTGGGACCACCCAAAACTCCCATTCTGCCCCAACCCACTCCCCAAACCCCTTCCCCCCCACACCCATATCCCCCTAGTCCCCCCCAAAAAAGGCAGGGTGTAGATTTTGGGGGTTTTTGGAGTTCCCACCGTGCTCACCTGCCCATGCAGGTCCGTGTTCAGCAGCATCAGGGCACAGGTGAGGGAGTGAACCGAGTCTGGGGGGTTGGGGGGGTCACATGGGGGTCCTACCACCCCCCCGGAGGTCCCAGCCTCCCACAAGTGAGGGACCCACCCCTTGAAGCCTAAAGGTGCAGCTGGGGAGCCCCGGGGGGCTGGGAGGGGTGTGGGTGGGTGGGGAAACTGAGGCACAGAGAGGGGTGAAGGAGCTTTGGGGCGTTCGGGGATGGTTTGGGGGGCTGAGGAGGATTTGGGGGGCTGGAGGGTGTGAGGAGACCCCCCAGTAAGGGCACCCACCCACTGAACCCCAAAAGGTGCAGCTGGGGGGGGCCTTGTAGCTCTGGGAGGGGCTGGGTGGGGAAACTGAGGCACGGGGGGGTTCAGGGGGCATCAACCAGCTCTGGGGGTCCCTAGGGGGTGTTTGGGGTCTGGGGTCTCACCGGGGGATGGGAAGGCCCCAGGGTTGCAGCGGTGGAAGCGCCGGGAGAAGTGGCCCAGGACCCGCTCCCGCTCCTGCGTCTCCCCCGACAGCACCAGGGCCTGCAGGAACGACCTGGGGGAACCCTGGGCTGGGGGACCCCAAAAACATCCCCCCAGGGGCACCGCCAGGGTGGGGGACCCCAAACATACCCACCCAGGGACACCTCCAGCATGGGGGACCCCAAAAATAACCTTGGGTATGTTTCCGCCCCTTGGATCCCAAATCTGCCCCCCCAGATCCCTCATCACCCCAAACCTTCCCCCACCCCCAGACCCCACCATTCCCCAAACCAACCCAAATCTCCCTTCTTTCATGTCCCCCAACCCCCATCCCTCCCACCCCTCTATCCATTTTGGGTGGTCTCTTTGCCCCCCACAAAGCCCCACCCAGCCCCCTCCCATCCCAACCTGAGCGCCTGGTCCAGAGTCTGCCCCTGGAAGTGGAAGAATTCCAGGTATTCCTGGGCCACCATCGCGCTGAAATCATTGCTGGGGGGAGCACGTGAGTTTGGAGGGGGGGGTCCGGAGCCCAGGGGACCCCCAAAATGGGGAGGGCACCCTCCAAACCCTTACTTTTTGCGGAGGAACGAGGCCACCTGGGATTTCCGGATGCCCTCCAGGTGGAACAGGCGGGAGGCCAAACGTTGGGCCTCCTCCCGTCCCGGCTGGGACCCCCCCTCGGGGGGCTGCACCACTTCCCCCAGAGGGGATCTGGTGGGGAAATGGGGGGTCAGGCAGGGCCAGGGGTGGGGGGACCCCAAAACCCTGCCTGGGTTGGGGGAGGGGGTGGGAAGGGATGGGGGAGGACTGAGGGGGCAATGGGGGGCTCGAGGAGGTGAGGGGGATCTGGGGGGAGTTGAGGGGCATAAATGGCAGGGTTGAAGGACAGATGGACAGAGTTGGGAGGGTTTGGGGGGTCAGGCAGGACTAGGGGGTCTCTGCCTGGATGGGGCAGGGGAGCTGGGGGAATTTGGGGGTTGAGGGGGGGTAGTTGTGGGGAAAGGGGACCTGGGGAATGGACAGACAGGATTTGGGGGGCTGGGGAGCCCAGGGGTGGGGGGTGAGGAATGGGGAGAGTACAGGAGGGACTGGAGGAACTGGGGAGCCAAGGGGACACATGGGGGTCACGTGGGGTCAAAGGGGGTCTGGGAGGAGCAGGTGGACAAAGGGGGCATGGGGGAACAGAGATGGGGGGGCCAGGGGGTCAGACAGAGTTTGGGGGGTGTCAGAGGGAGTTTTGAGGGGAGGGGGGTCCCACACGGGTCTGGGGGTCACGTGGCCGGTGGGGGGGTCCCTCACCTGGGGGTGCTGTCAGGGGGGTCTGGTGGGGGCTCCAGGCCCATCTTGGGGGTGGCTCCTCCGTGTTGGGGTGTGCGGGGGAGGCCTGAGGGGGGTCCCTGAGCCCCCATTTCCCCCGGGAGCCACAGACAGCCATGTCCTGGTAGGAGAGGCCCCCCCTGGGACCCCTCAGAAACCCCCAGTCCCGAGGGAGGCAGTGGGGGCAGGGAGGAGAGGGGCTGAGACCCCCCTCCCGGGGGCTGCAGGGTCACGGGGCTGGGGGGTGGCTTGTGCATCACTCTCAGGGGGGCAGAGGGGCCAGGCTGGGGGCTTGGGAGAGCTGGGGCCCCCTCCCAGGGGCCAGTAGAGGGGCTGAGAGGGTGTGGGGGGTTTAAGGGGGTCAGAGGGCTGAGGGGGCTCTGGGGGTGTTTATGGGGGGTAACAGGGCTGGGGGGGTTCTGGTGCCCCCCTCCCTGGGATAAATCGGTGGAGGGCAAGAACTTGACAGGCAGCTGGAACCCCTCTTTTGGGGGTAAATCTGGGGGGGCTGCAGGGGGCTGGAACCCCACTCTTTGTTTCAAATCCAGAGGGGGTGGAGGGGTCTGGTGCCCCCCTTTAGGGGGGATATTGGAGGTAGCTGAGGGCGTTTGACAGCCCCCTACCTGGGGTACATCTTGGGGGGCCTGGTACTCCTCTTTTTGGGGCAGATCTGGGGGGGTTGATGGGGTCTGGCACCACCCTCGCTGGGCCAAGTCTGGGGGGGCCAGGGAGGGTTGGTACCCCCGTCTTTGGTTCAAATCTGGGGAGTCTGGGGGGATTTGATTTCCCCCTTTTTGGGGCAAATCTGGGGGGTCTGGGGGGATTTGATTTCCCCCTCCCTGGGGCAAATCTGGGGTAGTTTGGTCCTCTCCTTCTTGGGGCAGGTCTGGGGAGGCTAGGGGAGTCTGGTACCCCCATCTGTTTTGGGCCACACCAGGGGCATCTGGGGGGGCTTGGTTCCTCCCTTTTTCGGGTAAATCTGGGGGGCCTGGTGGGGTCTCGTACCCCCCTCCCTGAGGCATACTGGGGGGATCTGGGAGGGTTTGGTTCCCCCTTTGGGGTAAATCTGGGGGGGTGGGGGGGCCTGGTGTGTCTCTGCCTGGGGCAAATCTGGGGGTTCTGGGGGAATCTGGTGTCCCTCTTTTGGGGGCAAATTGGAGGAGCTGGGGGGGGTCTTGTCCCCCCCTTTCTGTGGCTTATCTGGGGGGTCTGGGGTGGTTTGGAACCCCCCTTTCTGAGGTAAATCTGTGGGGGTCTGTTGCCCCTCTCTGAGGGGCAAATCAAGGGGGGCTGGAGGGGTTTGTTGCCCCCCCTTCTGGGGCAAATCTGGGGGCACTGGGGGGCTGGTGGAGGTCCCGGACCCCTCTCCCAGGAGTGGCTCTGGGGGAGTCGGGGGCCTGGGGAGGGGTAGATCCTCATCTCCCCCTGCCGGGGGGTACCTGGAACTGCAGGGGCCCAGGCCCCCCCGCTCTGGGGTGAGCTCAGGAGGGGTGGGGGGGTCCCAGTCCCCTTCACCTGGGCTGAGCTCCAGAGGGGTGGGGAGTGCAGGGGGGTCCTGTTCCCCCCATTCCAGCTGCCCCCCGCCAGATCCCAGGGGCAGCTCTGGGGAGTCAGAGAGCGCCAGGTCTGGGGGTTGGGCGGGTCCTGAGGGAAGAGAAGAGACAGGGGGTGTGTCCCCATCAGCATTAGTGCCCCCCACTAAAACCAACCCCCCCAAGGATGGGGTGTCCCCACACTCACCCCACTCCACGGTGACGCCCCCGATGTCCTCGATGTCCCCTTTGGAGTGACCCCTGAGGGCTGTGGGAGTGGGGGGGTTTGGAGGTCCCCCCTTTCTGCCCCGATGCCCCCTGTGGTGTCCCCCACCTCGGCAAAGGCGGCCCTGTGGGTCCGATAAAGGGGCACCCCCTGGGCCCCCCCAGGGGCCACCAGCCGGCTCTGGAACAGGGGGTTGGTGTGGAACTGGGGCTCCTCCTCCTCCAGGTCCTCCTCATCCTCGGTATCTTCCTCCAGGGAGGTGCTGCCGTGGTCATCATCATCCTCCTCATCATCCTCATCCTTCTCCTCTTCGCTGCATTCGGGGGCTTGGGGCTCGAGAAGGGTGGTCTCACCCATGGGCACAGTTTTGGGTGAGATGGTCCCATCCATCATCACAGTCTTGGACAGGTTGGTCTCATCCACGGCCATGGACTTGGCTGAGATGGTGGAATCCACGGTCAGGTGCTCCTGAGAGATGGTCTCATCCATGGGCACAAACTTGGGTGAGATGGTCCCATCCGTGGTCATGGACTTGGATGGGATCGTTGCATCCATGGGCACATCCTCTGGAGAGATGATCCCACCCGTGGGCATGAACGTGGGTGAGATGGTCCCATCCACAGGCACAGGTTTGGGCAAGTTGGACACATCCATGGGTACAGACTTGGGTGAGATGGTCCCACCCTCTGGCACAATCTCCCCTGAGATGCTCCTGCTCGTGCACGAGTTGGTCTCATCCGTGGTCACAGGCTTGGGTGAGATGGTCCCACCCACAGTCACACATTCCTGAGAGATTCCCTGATCTGTGGGCATGGATGTGGAGGAGCTGCTCCCACCCATGGCCATGGACCGGGGGGAGATGCTCCCACCCATGGACACGTGGAAGATGCTGCCAGAAATGAACCCACAGCCTTGGTCCTCCTGGAAGACGCTCCCATCCAAGGGGAAGGACTCGGATGGGATATTCTCGTCCATGGGCACAGATTTGGGGGAGATGGCCCCACCTGAAGGCACGAGGGAGATGCTCCCGTGTGTGGATCTGTGGCCTTGGTCCTCATGGAGAGTGCCCCCATCCATGGGCACGGACTGGGGTGGGATGTTCTTATCCATGGACATGGGATTGGGGGGGATGGACCCATCCATGGACACGTGGAAGATGTTCCCATCCACCGGCACAGGCTTAGGTGGGATGTTCCCCCCTATGGACACGTGGAAGATGCTCTCAAATGTAGATTCGTGGCCTTGGAGCTCCTGGAAGTTGCTCTTATCCATGGGCTTGGGAGGGACGTGGAAGATGTTCTCCAGTGTGGATCCACAGCCTTGGAGCTCCTGAAAGCTGCTCCCATCCACCCCCAGGTTCTCCACGTTCTCCTCCAGACCCCCAGGCTGGGGGGCACTGGGGGCCATGTCCCCGCAGTGGGGGGCATCCTGGGGGTCCCAGGGTGGGGGGGCCTGGGGAGGGGCTGCCCCTCGAGGGCTCCCTGCAGGTCCCACACGCAGAGCTGGGCACGGGCCAGGCTGGCCCAGAACACGTCGGGGGCACTGGGTGCCTGAGGGGCGGGTGGGGAGGGGGTCTGGGTGGGGGTCATGGGGATCAGGGAGGGGTTATTAGGGGTGCCAGGGTGGTGTGGGAGGGGGTCAGGGGCGGAGCGTGGGGGAGGTTGGGGGCGGGGCCAGGGCAGGGGTCACCCGCTCGGACCCCGAGAAGACGATGGCGTCCTGCGCCGCCAGCACCCCGGGAGGGGTCAGGGGAGTCCCTGCAGGCTCCATGAGGCCCCTCCCTACAGCCACCTGCCTGGGCTGGGGGGAGCTGGGCTGCCCTGAGTGTCCTGAGGGTCCAAAGGGTCCGTGCCCATGGTGGGGGGGCCTGGGGGGAGAGGGAGGAGAGGGGATGTGGGTGAGGGCGCTCTGCAAAGTAGGGAGGGGTGGGGTGGGACGGGAAAGAGGGAGGAGGAGGAAGGGGAGAGGAGAGAGGAGGGAGAGAGGGATAAAGGAGGAAGAGAAGGAGGGAGGGGAAAGGGATGAAGGATGGCAAGACAATGGAGGAAGGAGGGAGGAAAGGTGGGAAGGAGGGATTGAGGAGGAAGGGAGGGAGGGAGAAGGGAGAGAGTGAGGGAGGGATGAGAGAGGGAGGGAGAGGAGAGGAATGAGGAAGGAAGGGTGGGAAGGAAGGAGGAAGAAAGATGGGAGGGATGAAGGAGGAAAGGGGAGAAGAAGGGAGGGAGGAGGAAAGGAAGAGGACAGGAGGAAAGGATGGAGGAGGAAAGGAGGAAGGAAGGAGAAGAGAGGGAGGGAAGTTGAGGGGAAGAAGGGAGGAAGAGATGAAGAAGGAAGGAGGAAGGGAGAAGGAGGAAAGAGGAAGGAAGGAAGGGAAGGGGGAAGGGAGGGAGGAGTGAGGGAAGAGTGGGTGGAAGGGATAAAGGAAAGGAGGGAAGGAAGGATGGAGGAAGAAGGAGGGAAGGAGGGAGGGATGAAGGGAGAAGGCGGGAGAGAGGGAAGGAGGAAGTGGAGGAGGAGGAGGAGGGAGGGCTCAGAGGAGGAAGTAGGAAGGAAGAGGAGATGAGAGGAGGGGGAGGGAGAGGAGGGTCGGGGAAGGGGAGGAGGGTCGGGGGGCGGGTCAGGAGGCCCCCTCGGCCAGGTGGGGGGTCCCGGCACCCTCACCCAGCACCTGCACACCCCGTGTCCGGCCCCGTCACCCCACGGCCCCACGTCACCCACCCCGTGTCACCGCGTCACTGGCACCGCTTCCGCTCCGCGAGGCAGGAAACGGGGGAGGGGGCACCCACAGACCCCCCAGCCCGGGGGGACTCTGCACCTCCAACCCCCCACCCCAAACCCAACTCAAACCAGCCCCACACGGGCCCAGCACAACCCTAGAGTTGCCACTGGAGAAACCACATCAGTGTCGGGGGGTCGCGCCCCCCTAGAGCCCCCGGGGGGGGAAGCACCCAAGAGTGGGGGTCTCCAAATCGGGAAGGGGGGTATCATGAACCCAGTCTGTACCTTTGGAGTGCTGGGCCACCACACACACCACGTGCCCCCTCCCCAGTAACCCCCCCACTGGAACAGGGGCACCCCCAAGGGGTTGGGGAGGATCAAAGATTTGGGGGGGGGTCCCAGCGGGGAGGGGGGACCCCAAAGGCTGTTAATGGGGCTTGAGGAGTGGGGGTGAAGGTCTTCGGGGACCCCAAGTGGTTAGGGGGGCTTGGGGGATGTCTGAGGGTGGGGACCCCAAAAGTTGGGGTGGGGCTCCAAAGGGTGGGGGGACCCCAAAGGGTGGGGGGAGTCGAAAGTAGTTTAAGGGGCTTTGAGGGGGGCTGTTGGGGACCCCGATGGGTGGGATCCCAAAGACCAGAGCAAAGTAAAAGTGGGAGGCTTAGAAGGGGGGGAGGGGTCCCAGTAGTTGATGGGACCCCAAAATGTGCAGGGGTGACCCCAAATGGGTGGGGGGGACCCCATGGAGTGGAGGGGCCCAGAGATAAGTGGGGGCTTCAGGGGGGATCCTCCGAGTCCAAGGGGGACCCCAAGAGTTATGGGAGGACCCCAAGGGTTATGGGGGGCCCTGGGGGCTACGAGGCAGCCCTAAGGGTGGGGGGAGCCCGGATTTTTTGGGGGGACCCTCACGGTTTGGGGGATCTTGCAGGGCGGTGTGGGGAGCCCTGGGGGTGCTCCGAGGGCTCTGGGGCCCCACGGTGACCCCTCGCTCCCACCCCCCGGGCCGCTGGGACCCCCGCAGTCCCTCCCCCCCCTTACCGGCACTGCCGCGCGGGCGGGGGCGGGGCCTCGGTCGGACACGCCCTCTCACGGGGGCGGGGCCTGGGATCGGTGAGTTGTTTAGGCCACGCCCCCCCCGAGAGGCCACGGGCCCACGGGGTGCCCCGCGAGGCGCAATGGTTTGGGGATCCTGACCCCCCGTGGGATCATCCTGAACCTCGTGGGATGATCCTGAGCCCCACGGACCGATCCTGAACCCCGTGGGATGATCCTGACCCCCCAAGGGATGGTTCCGAACCCCCCTGCGCTGATCTTGGCCCCAGCATGAACTGACTGCCCCTCCACGGGCAACGGGCTTGGGTGAGATGGTCCCCAAGCAGCTCTGCAGGCTGATCCTGCTCCCTCAGGGTCCGATTCCTGCCTCTCCGTGAGTCCACCCGCCCCTCCCTGGATCCCCCCTGCTCCCTGTGGACCGATCCTGCCCCTGGGGCCCGATCCTGGCCCCCCTCCCCAAATGACACACCCCGAGCTGACACCAACAGTGTCACTTTATTTGGAAGGGAGGACTCTCCCACCCATGGATGTCCCCCACCATGGGTGCTCCCCCCCCACCGTGGGTGCCGGGGTCACTTTCGGCGCAGGTAGAAGGCGGTGGCCCCGTGGGGGGGAGCCATGGCCAGGGCCTCCCCTGGGCCAGGGGCTGTGCTGAGGAACAGCCCTGGGAACGCTGCAGCCTCGAAGGTGTGCGTGGACCCCCCGAAGGTCTTGTAGAAGGTGAAGGGCCTGGCCTCATCCCCCTCCTGTGAGAACAGCTCCAGCAACCCCACGTCCTGCCGCAGGGACACACAGAGCTGGGACACCGCCCCGGGGTGGCACCGTCCCAGGGAACCCCCATCTCCAGGTGACCTCACCTCCAGGTGACCCTACCTCAAGAAACCCTCACCTCCAAGTGACATCACCACCAGGTCCCCACCACCTCAGGGTGCCCCCCACCTTGGGTCATCTACCTTGGGCTGACCAACCTTGGTGCCCCCCCCATGGTGCCCCCACTTTGGTGCCCCCCAGGTCCCCCCTCACCTCAAGGTGCAGCCGAGGCTCGGGGCCGGTGCCGCAGGACAGGGCTCGGGTGCCCCCGCGGATGCCCACGATGAGGGGGCAGCGCCGGCGCTCCAGGTGCCGGTTGGGCACGACGCTGATGGGCTCTGTGGGGACACAGGGCTGGGTGGGGGCCCTCAGGGGGGGCCACCCTCCCCACGGATGATACCCACCTTCCTGGGCAGCATTGGCGCCCTGCAGGCTGGTGGCCACCAGGTGCCCATCCCGCAGGCACAGCCCCTTCTGCTCCGAGTCCCGCAGCACGTAGTGGTACGGCTGGGCCAAGGGGCGCGGGGACGCCGAGGCCACCATTGGCACCTCTGGGGACACAGGGAAGTGTGGGGACAGGGGGACAGGACACAGGGATGTGGGGATGAGGGACACAGTGGGAACGGACACACGGGGACACAGGGACACGGGGACGTGGGCACAGGGATGTGGAGATGGGGGCCGTGGGTGACGGGCAGGTGAGACATGGGAAACATGGGGACATGGGGCACGGGATGGGGACACCTGGGGACACAGGGGACCCGTGGGGCACCCAGCAGGCCCCACCTCTCCCCAGGAAGTCCTGGAACAGGGCCTCCATGTCGGGGTCGATGACAGACTCGACCGTGTTCCCGGGCTCCGCCAGGACTGCCATGGGGTGGGACTGCTTAGGGGGTCCCCGGGGACCCCGGACCCCTCTGCAATGGGGAGGGGGGAGAGAGAGGGGTTGAGGGTGGGTGTCAGACAGGGTGACCCATCCCAGGTCCAAGGGGAGGGGCAGCCCTGTCCCCACCCTGTCCCCGCTCACCTGACAGCAGCTCTGGACACGCAGGACATGGCTGGGCCTGGAGGGAGAGGGGGACACGGGTGACATGGATGACACAGGTGGAAGACACCCCTGCTGCCAACCCCAGCCATCAGGAGGATCCAGAGTGAACAACCTGGGAATCCTTCCTGGGCAGGACCTGGCTGGTCCCTGTCCCTGTTCCCAGCCCTGGGCGTTGTTCCCAGGCAGCACCTGGCCTGTCCCTGTCCCCGATCCCACGCACCTGTGACTCTGGCAGCTCTCGAGGTCCAGTCCTCTCTGGGTTCTGTCCCCTGGGGTTGGTGGTGGCTTTATAGGGCTGGGCAGGGCGGGGGACAGAGCCCGCCCTGGTGATTGTAGGGCAGTGCCAGGCTGGGATGGGGAAATGCCACCTGGGCCCCCTTGTCCCCATTATCCACTGTGATGTCCATGGTCACTGTGGCAGGGATGTCCCCTGTGCCACGTCCCCCCCGCCAGCCCTGTCCGACAGGTAATGGTGTGTCCCCAGTGCCCTGTCCCCACAATCCCCTGTGTCCCGTCCCCATGGTCCTGTGACCCCTGTCCCTGTGGCCCCACAGTCCCTGTCCCCACGGTGTCCCCGTGCCCCATTCCCACAGCCCCACGTGTCCCACGTGTGCCGTTTCCCCGTGCCCCCTTCCCGCGGTGCCAGGCTGGGTGTGCCGGGCGGGAAGCGTCGTTTCCCCGCGGGATCCAGGAAGGGGCGGCCCCGGAGGTGCCCGTCCCGGGGCAGCCCCGGCTGCGTCACCCCGGGCGGGGGACGTGCCGTTCCTGTCCCCACGGGCCAGTGGCGCAACCTGGGACACCCCGAGGGTGACGCAGCCACCGCCACCACCCCTGTGCCCTGCCCCCTGTGTCACCCACGCCACGGGCACCGCTCTGGCCTGAGCATCTTTATTGCCTCGCTGGCGCAGGGGGGAGGACGGCGGCACCATCCTGGGGGTGAGGATGGCACCGTCCCCACGGGGCTGGCACCATCCCCAGGACGTCACTCTCCTGGGGAGGATGCCACCCTTCCAAAGGGGATGGTACCATCCTGGGGGGATGGCACCTCCCCTGGAGTGAGGATGTCACTTTCCCCCATTGGGACGTCACCTTCATCAGGGGGCTGGCAGCATCCTCGGGGTGAGGATGTCACCAACCTGGGAGGGATGTCATCCTCCCCAAGAGGCTGGCACTATCCTGGGGGAGGTGCCACTGTCTCAGGCTGAGGATGTCCCTGTCCCCAGTTGGGAGTGTCCCCATGGCTGTGCCAGAGGGGGCTCAGCAGAGCTGAAAGTAGAAGTCGAGCAGGTGGGTGGTATCGTGGCTGCGGGACAGTGCCAGGGGCTGGTGGCCCCGGGCAGAGGTGCAGAGGAACCAGCCAGGGTTGGCAGCGGACTCGAAGCGCCACAGCCCATCCTTGTAGGAGCGGAAGAAGGTGAAGGCGGCCGAGGCCTCCCCAGTGTGGGGCAGCTCCCGGATGTCCACGGCCTGCGGGGACAGGGGGGTCACCCATGCCCTGGGGGGCACCACGGCGGGGCTGGCACCCACGGCCAGCAGGGGACACGGGCACTGTGCCACCGGGGGCTGCGGTGGCACCAGCCCCGCAGTGTCCCATCCCCACAGTTCCCGTGTCCCCGCACTGTCCCATCCCTGAGGTCCCTGTGTCCCCATCCCTGCAGTCCCCATGCCCCCACCCTTGTGGTGTCCCCATCCCCATTGCATCCCCTCGGCATTCCTGTTCCAGTGTCCCCATCCCATGGTGTCTCCATCCCTTTGGTGTCCCCTCAGTGTCCCCATACCCCTGTCCCTGTGTCTGTCCCACCTGCAGCTGCAGTGCCGGAGTGGTGCCAGTTTTGGGGTGGCTGGCAAGGCAGCGGGTGCCGTTGCGGATGCCCAGGATGACGGGGAGCCGGGTGGGCTCGAAGGCACGGTTGGGCACCCAGAACACCTTCTCTGGGGGTCACAAACCCGGGGGGCCATCAGGGTTAGGGTCAGGGTCCCCCACCCCCACCGTGTCCCCCCCCATGTCTCATCGTCACCTTCCAGGGCGGCGTTGGCCCCTTGGAGGTGCCCGGCCAGCAGTTGGTCATCCCGCAGGTACAGCGACTTCTGGTTCACATCCCAGAGCCTGGGGGGGCACAGACAGTGGTGCCACCCTCTGCCACCCCCCCCGGATCCCCTGGGGGTGCCCCCCGCCCTCCTTACCGGTACTGGAACACCTTGGTCTGCAGGCCAGGTGCCTGGCAGGGGGAGGAGCCTTCGGCCTCTGCACAGAGGAGGAGGAAGAGGGCGAGGATGAGGGCGACAGCCATAGCACCCCGGAACCGCCCTGGCACCCCTGGCACCCCAAAACCGCCGCGACACCCCCACTCTTATAACACCACCGAAATCCCTGTCCTGCGGGGGCGGGGGGCTCCCAGTGGCGTAACAACGCCCGCGGTTCCGCTTCCCCTCCCGGCCCGCCGGGCCCTGCCGGGGTCCCCATTCTCACCCGCGGGACCCCCCACCCCACTCATGCTGCGGGACCGCGAGAGGGAGGAAGGAAGGAAGGAGGGTGGCGGTGGTGTTGCCACACTGCTGGGGAGGGAGGCGGGGCCCGCCCCTGCCCAGGACTCGGCACCTCGGGGTGTGGGGGTGACACCTGAGGTGACACATCGCGGGGGGCGGCACGACACGTGACAGGGGGTCAGTGAGACCCCCGATTGGCCGCCGCGGGGCTCGAACCCACGGCCTCGCCAGCGCGGGGGCGGCGCCCTCCCTGTTGCGCCACCGCGCGAAGGCGTCGCACGCATGCGCGGTCAGGGCGGCGGGAGAGCCGCAGGAGCGGCGTGGGCAGCGCTGAGTGGCCGCGGGAGGGCGGCACATGCGCACTGAGCCGAGCGAAGCCGCCGCGCGCGGGCAGGGCGGGCAGGGCGGCAGGTGCGCACGCGCAATGCGGGCTGTGAAGCCGCGGGGCGCTGGGAGCGGGAGAGGCGCAGGCGCAGCGGGCGCGGCGAGGCGGCGGCACATGCGCAGAGCGCCCCCGCGGGCGGCAGCGGCACGGCCATGGCGGCGCGGGGGGCGCGGAGCGCGGCGGGGGCTGCGCTGGTGCTGCTGCTGCTCGGCTGCGGCGCGCACGGGCTCTACTTCCACATCGGCGAGACGGAGAAGCGCTGCTTCATCGAGGAGATCCCCGACGAGACCATGGTCATCGGTGCGGGGGGAGGGGGCATGTCAGGGACCGTTGTGGCGGGGGGGGAGAGACCACCAGGGACATGGGGAGTTACAGGGGACCACCGCGGATTGGGGGTAATGAGAAGGACCGCTGGGTACTGCGGGGGGTGAGACCACCGGGATGTGGGGGGGAAAGGGAGGGACCACCGGGGACCGGGAGGGGCCACCGGCTGCTTTTTTGGGAGTGGGAGAGGCCACCGAGATCTGGGAGGGGTCACCGGGGATGTCACGGGAGTGACCCCCGGGCATTGGAGACCACCGAGGTGGGGGGGGAGGCCGATAGGAGGGACTGAGGAACCCCCCAGGAGCGATGGGGAGGGGCAGGAGGGACCCCCGGGAAGGGGGATCGGGGGACCGGGCTGGGGAGCACTGGGATGGCGGTTGGACCCTCCCCGACCCCGTGTCTCCCCCGTTCCCAGGGAACTACCGGACACAGCTGTGGGACAAACAGTCCGAGTCGTTCCTGCCCTCCACCCCCGGGCTGGGCATGCACGTGGAGGTCAAGGACCCCGACGGAAAGGTGGGCATCTCCAGGACAGGGCAGTGGCCTTGTCTTTGTGGCCTGGGGTGAGTGACAGTGTCCCCAGGGTGTGACAGTGGCCCTGTCCTAGTCCTGGGGGTGTGACACCTCCTGCCACGTTCCCAGGTGGTGCTGTCCCTGTCCCTGTGGTGTCCCCGTGCTCCTGTGTGTCCCTGGGCTGTGTGTGACGCTGTCCCTGTCCCAGGTGGTGCTGTCCCTGTCCCAGGTGGTGCTGTCCCTGTCCCTGTGGTGTCCCTGTGCTCCTGTGTGTCCCTGGGCTGTGTGTGACGCTGTCCCTGTCCCAGGTGGTGCTGTCCCGCCAGTATGGCTCCGAGGGTCGCTTCACCTTCACGTCCCACACGCCGGGGGAGCACCAGATCTGCCTGCACTCCAACTCCACCCGCATGGCCCTGTTCGCTGGGGGCAAACTGGTACTGCTGGGGCGAACTGGGACCTCTGGGGAGGGGTCCCCAACCCCAGGGGGTGTCCCTGGCCCCTGAGCCCCCCCTGACTGTCCTGTGCCTGCAGCGGGTACACCTGGACATCCAGGTGGGTGAACACACCAACAACTACCCTGAGATCGCGGCCAAGGACAAGCTGACGGAGCTGCAGCTGCGGGCACGGCAGCTCCTGGACCAGGTGGAGCAGATCCAGAAGGAGCAGAACTACCAGAGGGTGAGCAGGGGGTCCTGCAGGGTCAGTCTGGGGGGATCACCCCGTTTCCCCCCCCTCTGACCCCCTTTCCCCGTTTTGGGCAGTACCGGGAGGAGCGGTTCCGCATGACGAGCGAGAGCACCAACCAGAGGGTGCTCTGGTGGTCCATCGCCCAGACCATCATCCTCATCCTCACCGGCATCTGGCAGATGAGGCACCTCAAGAGCTTCTTCGAGGCCAAGAAGTTGGTGTAGCCACCCCAAACCCCTGGGGGGCTCCCCCAGATCACCCCGCGTGCCCCAAAGGGGGGATCCAACCCATCCCAGGGCGCTCCCGCAGACCTGGGGAGGGACCTTTGCTGCCTGCTGGGATCCTTGGGGTGGTGGGCAGGTTGAGGGGGCCCTGCCTACTGTCTGGGAGGGGGGAACCCACCCCCTGCTTGGGGGAAAATAAAGATTTTATTGGGGAAAATAAAGAAGTTTTTTGTTTCAATGGGGCTCGCTGGTGCTTTTTTGGACTGGGGAGGGAATGTGGTCCTGCAGGAAAGCAGGGTGTGGGTTCAGCCATCCAGCTACTTTTCTGCAGTGCGTTTTTCCCCTCCCGGGGAGTGAATCCGCGCACAAAAGCCCCCTGTCAGGGGGGCGAGGTTTCGGGGGCTCCCCCAGCCCCGAGCGGGGTGGGCGGTGTCAGTCTTCCACCGCCAGGGGGCGCTGCGGCGCCCGCCTTCTCCCGGCGGCGCTCTGTGTGCACAACCGGAAGTGTCCGTGGGCGACCCGGCCAAGATGGCTGCGGGCATGGAGGGGTCCGGCTTCGAGCACATGGGGCTGGACCCGCGGCTGCTGAGGGTGGGGGGTTCGGGGGGGCTTCGGGACACGGGGAGGGGGCTCGGCCCAGAGGGGAGGCCTTGAGGGGGCTGAGAGAGGTTTGCAGTCACTGGCGATCCCCACCCTCGGATGGGAGTGTCTTGGGGGGGCACTGGGGACCCCGGGTTTGGGGGGGATGTCTGTGGGAGGGAGTGGGACAGTGAGGACGCTCGTTTTGAGGAGGGGGTATCTGTGGGCCATGGGGGGCGCTGGTGACCCCACCATGGGGAGGGGCTGTCTGTGGGGGGTCCTGTGTCCCCCACCATGGGCAGGGGCTGTCCCTGCTCTCTGTGGTGACTCTGGTGCCCCCCTCAGGCGGTGGCAGAGCTGGGCTGGGCAACCCCCACGGCCATCCAGGCCCAGGCCATTCCCCTGGCACTGGAGGGCAGGGACCTACTGGCACGGGCCAGGACGGGCTCCGGGAAAACGGGAGCCTACGGGCTGCCTCTGCTGCACAAACTGCTCAGCATCAAGGAGGTGAGGGCACGGGGGATGAGGGGTAGTGGGGGGCATCCTGGCAGGGGGATTATGGGGTAACTTTGGGGTATTGAGTGGTGGGGGGCACCATGGGGCATCCAGGACAGGGTGGGCTCTTTGGGGCAGAGGGTGTCCTTGGGGTCCCTGTTTCCCCCTGGTGTCAGTGCTGGTACCCACAGGCTGTGCAGGCACTGGTGCCCTCGGGGATGCCCTGTGTGCCCCAGTGACAGCCCCTGTCCTCCAGGCGTCCCCAGCACTGCCCCAGGCCGTCCGTGCCCTGGTGCTGGTGCCCTCGGCGGAGCTGGGCCGGCAGGTGGGGCATGCTTTGCGCCAGCTCTCGGCATTCTGCACCCGCCAGCTGCGTGTGGTGGACCTGTGCTCCCAGAGCGACCCTGCTGCCCAGAGGTGAGGGACCTGTGTGCCCTGTGTGCCCCCCTGACCCCCCCTGTGTGCCCCCCTGTGCTCCCAGAGCGACCCTGCTGCCCAGGTGAGGACCTGTGTGCCCTGACCTGTGTGCCCCCCTGTGCTCCCAGAGCGACCCTGCTGCCCAGAGGTGAGGGACCTCTGTGCCCTCTGTGCCCCCCGACCCGCCCTGTGCTCACAGTGACCCTGCTCACAGAGGTGAGGCACCCCCTGTGTGCCCCCCGTGCCCCCTCAGCCCTCCCTTGCCCTGTGTGCGTGCCAGGCCCGTGCTGATGGAGCAGCCTGACGTCGTGGTGGGCACCCCGGGGCGGGTCCTGGCACACCTGGGCGGGCACAGCCTGAGCCTGCGGCACTCGCTGGAGCTGCTGGTGCTGGATGAGGCCGATCTGCTGCTCTCCTTTGGCTTTGGGGACGACATCAAGGCCCTGCTCTGGTGAGGGGACACAGGGAAGGCACGGGGGGCGTGTGGGGCGTGGACAGGGCACGTGGGGGCAGGGATGGGGGTACTGCAGCCACTGCTGGGGTGGAGAGCATGGGGGACAGTGCCAGGGGTTTGGGGGCACTGCTGGGGTGGGGGGGCACAGGGGGCACTGATGGGAGCATGGGGGCCAGGGATGGGAGTATGGGGGGCTCTGCTGGGGGCACTGCCAGGGCTGGGGGGAGCAGCGGGGCTGGAAGGGGTGGAAGGCACAGCCAGGGGGTTGAGGGGCACTGAGGGGTTAGTGGGCACCACTTCGGGTTTGGGGGGCACTGCTGGGGTTTGAGGAACATTGTTAAAGGAGGGGGACTTGGGGGCACAGTGGGTTTTGGGGGCATTGGCAGGGCTGGGGGGCATGGGGGGCCTTGAGGGGGGCAGCAGAGCATCACCAGCTCTGGTGCCAGGGAGTTTGGGGGGCACTGACCCCCCTGTTCCCCCCAGCCACCTGCCCAAGATCTACCAGGCCCTGCTGGTGTCAGCCACATTCAACCCCGAGCTGGAGGCGCTGCAGGAGCTTGTGCTGCACAACCCCGTGAGGAATGGGGGGCTAGGATGGGGTTTGGGGGGGGCTGGGAGGGGTTTGGGGTGTCCAGGAGGAGGTTTAGGGGATCCAAGGAGGATTCAGAGTGGGCACAAAGATGGGAAAACGCTGGGATTTGGGATCACCGCCCCCCAGCAACAGTTTTAGGGGACACAAGAAACCCAGAGGACGTTGTGGGTACCACAGCCCCCCATCTTTCCCCTTTTTCCTCCATCCCATCCCACCCCATCCCATCCCATCCCATCCCAT